GCGGGCGGGGCTGTGGCGAGGGAGGCTGCCCGCCGAGCGCCGGGCTGCGGGCTGGCCCGCGTGGGTAACGGCCCTTCGTTAGGCCGCGGGGCCGCTCCTCAGGGCCTGAGGGCAGCGGGCGCCTTTTTTGCGCTCCGGTTTCTGCTGTGGAAGCAACGCCTTCGCAGGGAGCCGGGCAGAAGCGTGCCAGGGGGACTCGGGCCGGAGTTACTTTATTTTTAAATTTGGAACAGCCGAAGCTTTATTAATCACCCCTGCAACTCGCCTACACCAGTGCTTGTGGGCCAGGCTCCTGCGGCAAAACCCGACAGCGCGTTGGTAAAACGAGGAGGGTGCTTAGAGTGTCTCAGTCCATCTCTTTGGGGTTTTGGGTTAAATTTAGAACGTTTTTTTAAAGTGTAAAAACAACATGTTTGCCTCATTGAATAAATGTTCTTATTTTAACAGTCATTACTGGCTCTGACAGTGAACAAAGTGAAACAATATGTTAATATCACAGCTGACTTCCCAGTTACTGAAGGCTTCACGTATTGCAGGTAAACAGACGTCGTGTGACCTGTTTTTCTGTTTGTTTGTTTGTTTGTTTGTTTTTCCCCTGGGGTAATTAGGCCTCCAGAAGTTCCTTTTCCAGTAAGCAGTGCAAGAGCAGTGAGGCTGTTGTTGATTCAGTGCTTGTGGAATGTTATTATGTCTCTGATCTGTTCTGTCAGTATTGTGTAGCTCTGATTTAACCTCTTTTAAGCTTAGGAGGAGATTCCTTAGCAGTAGAAAGGCTTAATACAGCGAACAGTTCCTCGCCATTCCAAATTGCACTTACACAGTTTACACAGTAAAATATTGTATAATGTAATGTTAGCAGGTGGTGTTACAGCAACGTAATTAAATTCAAAACAAAAAAAGACTTCCTTGCTTTTGTGATGAGAATATAATTTTTGTAAGCAGCTTCCTTTATTAGATTATTCCAGCCACAGTTGTCTGATTGTTTGAGAGCTGGGCAGAGCTTTTCTTAAGATACTGTTTGAAAATTTTGCCTCTTAAGTGAAATTCTTTTCTTCTCAAAGGCCACCTTTTGCCAAGGTCAGTGTCTTCCTTTCTTTGCTGTCGTTCTACATCTGCGCGCTATAGCACGCAGCCATCTAACAAGAGTGGAGCCCAACCTCAGCAGTGGTATGCTCTGGACCCTGAACTGGAAGAGATGCTGGTCCCCAGAAAACTTTCCATCAGCCCCTTAGAAAGCTGGCTGACAGTTAGATACTCCCTTCCTAAAACAGAAGTCCTTAATGCTCAGGAAGAAGTGGGCTATGAACCTCTCCAGCGATATGACTGTCCCCCGTCTGATGAGGGAGCTGATGTGGAGGAAGGAGAGGGAACACTTAGCAACAAGCTTCAATGTAAGAACGTTTTGAAGATTCGCAGAAGGAAAATGAATCGGCACAAGTTCAAAAAGCTGCTAAAGCGAAGAAAGTTTGTACGGAGGAGGATAAAGGAAGGTCGCAAGAAGAAACGTCAGGTAAATTCAGGGCAGAGAGAACTTCTTGACGTAAATGTGCCCTCTTCTCAAACTGGCCTCTGTTGGGGTATTGAGTGATGTTTTTAAGTGGAATTGATTTGGGGAAAAATGGCAGCAGCTCGGAGAGCTTTAATGAATTCAGTTTTTACTGGTACTGTTTTTTTCTGTTTTTGCTGTTTCTGTACATCTTCAGAAGTTGTAATTTAGAATATTTCTGTAGTTGTAAACATATATGTGTGGTAGTTACTAGGCGTAATTTTTCTTGCATGACAGTAACTTTTAAACGTATGGCTAATGGAGAAGAATTTTAGCGTTTGTGTGAAAGATTAATTCACGTGTCTGTGTTATATCAGGGAGACTGGTGTAATTTCTTTCCTGTCTTGCCAACGTTGTGAAGTGCTTCCTGTTGTCTTTTCCTGTATGGAAGCCTTTTAGTTCCCTTAATAGAAGGGCTGAGGGAAGACATGGGCCTTCATTCAAACTGTAGATGTTGTCTTTCAACACTGCCTTTCGATAGTCTGTTAGGTTTGCTATGATATAGTTTAGTTCATTCTCTGGTAATTTTCACCTTGCCTAGATGCAAATTGGGGCTAATTGTAATTCCATTTCTTCAGATTGTAGGAAGCAGTGTTGAACACTTTAGGATGAGAAAATCCTCTTAATTTTCTTACAGTTTTGTTTTCCATCTTCTCAGTTTTCCCCCTACGGGACTTTTAAAATAATGCTACCAAGATCCTTGTGCACATTAGTCTGTTTTCTGCAGTAAGGCTAACTATTTTGACACTTAGAACAAGCTGCCTACTTAAAAGCATTTGTTTCTTGTGTGTGTGTTATACCTAAATTCTCCTTGGGACACATGGCAGTGGCTGAATACTTGAGTGTTGCTTCTGAGCTCCGTTACTATTTTTTTATTTCTTTTTTTTTTTCCTGTTTTAGATAAAATTTGAGAAGGATTTGGAGCGCATCTGGAAAAGAGCTGGTTTGAAAAATCCTCCTGCGGGATGGCAAACACCCAAGATATTTCTGAAAAGTTCAAAGCGATAAAAACCACTTGTAATGAGTTTTAACCTGTAATTGTAATTAAAAAATATTTAAGTACGCGGATTACTTTTAACCTTTTTCCGAGTGTGATGAAATTAGTAGGAGGAAACTTTCAATCTTGGTGAGCAGTTTTCCAAGGGCAAACCTGACAGCAATGTGCTTTTCCTCCTCCGAAGAAGGAAGTGAGCCCTTGTATGGTGACTGGGCACTGCTGTGTACAGCCCTGTGCTGTTGCCCCCAACCGTACGTCTGAGCAAAGGTGTCTTAGACTGCAGCCGAATTTCTGAAGTTGCTATTAGACTGAACGATGTGCTCTAAGAACAGTCAGTTGTGGGAGGGGGGATAAGTGAGAGAATTCTTCTGATTGTACATAAGACAAGTGTTTTGAAAAGTTGTTTTCAAAATCACGTTCTTTCATAGTCTTACTATGGAAGGGCTGGTGTTTACTGAGGGTTATGGTGAAATAGGAGTTGGATCAGAATTCCATGGAATATATCTGCAAAAGCTTTAATTTTCACTTATCTGAATCCTTGGTGTGCATGTGCTGTAGGCATTGCATGAGTATCCTTAAAAGGCATATTTATTTTTTCTGTTTTGTGCTAATAAAAAATTGTTATTTTTTTTTTTTTTCTACGACTGACCCCTGTCTTACAGAACATCCGGATGTTGGTATCAGTAAAAGTTAAGAGCTAATTATTCATTAACTACAAGAACTGTTTTGTGCCCAGGACAACCCTGTTGTAATCAGCTGGCTTTACATGATTGAAGAGAGTCATGAAAGCTGTGAAAAATGTAAATGTTTATTTTAAACCCTGACAGAGGACTTTATATCTGGCTCCTGTTTTGGGTTCTGCTTTTGATTTTTCTGTTTGAGGCAGTTAACTTCTGTTCTGTGTAATTCAGCTCTTCCCTGCCTGTATTCCAGCAGATAGATGGGGTGGTCTGACCTCGGAGAGACAGGAGGGAAAAATGAGTTCCCTTAGGCTCGTCATTCTGCAGCAGACAGGGAAGCTACCCTGAAAATGCATTCCCTTGTATCTGCTAGGAGCAGAACACTTGACTAAACTGAAAGGGAAGAAAAAAAGAATCTGTGGAACTCATTGCTACAAGGTACAGTTGAATCTTGCTACAGGAAGCACAGGTGACTCACACATTGGAGGTGTCTGAGGTTCTGTGTATGGCTCTGCTGTTTTTGTCACTAGATGGCAGTAAATTCAAAGCCTCTGAAACTCCTTAGCCCTTGACGTGGAAGCTACCTGGCTCTTTATGTCGGTATTTTAAGGAGAGGGTACACCCACATTTAAAAATTGATTAATCTTGCTGGAGAACTGTTGGTATTCTGAGAACTGTATTGAAGTCCTGTAGAAACATGTGGTTAGCACATTGTTATAGTTCTTTTTTCCAAACAATCTGTTAACAGTAGGCAACTCTGATTAAAAAAAAAATTAGAAAGATGGTTCGTCCTTTTTCTGCTTTAGGCTGTAGTTGCTTTTAACCAAGACCAGTGGGACTCTTTCCTTCAGCCTGTTGTCAGGATTTCAACAAAGAGGAGAATGTCTAGCCACGAGCCTTAGAAACTCGCCAAGCAAGAGAAAGATTGAGTGTTTATTCTGGCTTCCAGGTTTGTTAAATATGCGGAGTGCATCTAGGTGTTTCTAAAATATCAATACTCATTCCCTGCACAAAGATGCGTAGATGACGGGCTGGGGCCTGAGAGGGTTAGCACCTCTGAAGTCAGGTTCGTGTCTTTTTTTTCCCCAGTTACGTTTGTTTTAAGAGCCCTTATGCTAGCGTTGTTGTTCTCTGTCAGTCCTGCGGCTTCTCTTGCTGGCTCTTAGTCCAAGCTCGCTGTTTTCTTGCCTAGAGAAAAATGGTAATCGATGCACATTTCCAGGAGATCGTTAGCTGCAGAAGAGTTGGGATGCCTTTGGAATTACATGGAGCAAAAGACTTTATAAAGACAGCAGTAGCATGCCCTGCTCATTTATCAGTGCTGTACCTCTGATTCCAGTTTTGAGATTTATTCTTCCTTGATTTTCTTTGTCTTAATTAATCCTATAACATGCATCTTTGTTCTCTGCTGTAGTCTCTAAATCTATAAACTGCCCAAGGATATGTTATCCATTTTTCTCCACTATGACTTAGGTTATTCTTCTTTCTCTCTACTTTGACATAAAACCTCTCTTGCTCTTGGGGAGCATCATGATGGGGCTGTAGATCACAAACTTGTCCATTGTATGCATGTCTGCTGGGATCATGCAGGCAGAGAACTTTGTATGCCCTTTTCCTGGATCAGCACCACCACCTTGCTCTCCCACTTGTTTTTACATTGGGATAGTAACTAGAAAAGAGAACTATTGAAATAGTGGGAATTGCAACGCGTAATCGTTCAGTACTTTGTGATGTTTCAGTGCAAGTGAACTCTTGTACTATGGCAATGATCTTGTTACATTAGGATACTCGTGTGGTGAATTGCAAGTCTCCACGAGGTAAAGCAGCTTATTAAATGGTGTGCCCTCTAAGTAGCAGTCCAGTCCTCCAAATTGTAGTCTGCCAAGAGTAGTCATTACTTTTACATTATTAGACATAATTACACAACCACGTATAGAAGTCTGGAACTACTGTGTAATTTACAAAAGTGTCTGTAAACCATCCATGGCAGTTACTGCCAGTCTTAGTCATGTAAATGCCTTATTCCTTTTTGCTGGAGTACCTCAAAGCGTGGCTCAGGGTTTGTATGTTCTTTGTGACAGATACTGCAAAGACTCTGTCTTACGTGGCACTAATCAGATAACATACAAAGTTGATACAACCCTTGTATTTAACTCTCTTGACCACAGGATGCAATTTTAAACTCTTTCTCTCGCTTTGCTAAATGGGGAGTCAGATAGACGAATGCTGCATCTATTTATCTGTAGGGGGAGCACGAGTACATAATACACTATTCACAAAGCTTTATTATGAGTTGCTGTTCCTCTCCAAAATACGTGCATACCAAGGTACCTGCACACTTAGTAAATGTATATGTGTTTGTGCCTATGGAGCTGTGGTAGCAAAAAAAAAAAAAAAAAAAAAAAAAAGGGGCCGGAAGCCGGAAAGGGTTAGGAGCTACAGAAGCCTCATCGCTCCATAGCGAGATCTGGCTTCCTCGCTGCCTTTGGATGCACAGACCCCGTCAGAGGGAAAAAACACAGGTTATTTCTTTGGCTGAAGAAAAAGCCTGCAGGACAATCCGAAAGAGCGAGGTGGGCACTGACAGGGCATATTGACTGAGTTACATCAATTAACCATTGCCAAACCTAAGCACGGCTGTTTGCAAGTTAGCAATGAGACTCTAGGAGATCATCCTCACACTGAAAACTCATCCAGGTCACCAATAGTCTGCAACAACAAACCAGACCGTACACCATCCCATAGTTCAGTTGCAAAGTTGCACACACATACACCTGAAAGGCATCATTAACGAAACAGACAGAAACAGAACCACACGGGAAGAACTCCTGACCCCATATCTCTAGTAAAAACAGGGGAATGAAATTTAACATAGTTCCAAAGCAACTGACAGACTGACACTTATTTACCACAAACACAGAACGTCCTCAGTTGAAAGCAACAGATCTGGGACACAGCAGCCGGGTAAGTAACCAACAAGAGGCGCATAAAAGAGGCATGGCACAGGGAAAAAAAAAAAAAAAAAAAAAAAAAAAAGGCGCTGCAAGCAGGAAAGGTTTGACTTTTGTAATTCTCAAAATATTTAAGACTTGAAGATTTCTCCTTCATCTCCTTATTATTCTGTTGTTCTGAGAGGAAATGGCTGAAAGTCAGCAGGAGGTTGCTAGAGGAATTCATGCTCTCTGTTACAGACTGGAAATATCCAGTGGGATTTTATGTGTCAAACTGCCTGGCAGTCATTGGTCTGGAAAGGTCCCTCAAAATTGGAATGAAAAACTAATTACACTCATGCTTACATCCCTAATTTTTGGATTGCATGCACTTAAATACAGACGGCAAGCTCAGTTAGCTGAACAGAACATCAAGTTTGGTAGTTTTATCACAGTGACCAGGTTTGGGCTGAAATGAGTTGGCTCTAACATAGGAAGTCAGATGACACAGAAGGGATCAAAGTTCTGAATTTTGTTTCTCTTAGCCAAAGCATCCCACTGCAAACTCAGAGGGTGTTCTCCCTTTCGGAAAGGTCAAAACCCAGCAACGTGGTGGTAGTGGGCTTCTGACATAGATGTGGCAGAAATATCATTTTTTTTTTCTAATGCTAGCAAATAATGGTTGCTGGCAAACTTGAGATTTTTAGTTGTCACTTTGACCTGGATAGCAATAGTTCTAACTAGGGTAGGAATTAAATGCATTTTTAGAAGTCTCCTCTAGAAAATGTGTTGTTCAATTGCATCAGTATGGGTTCTTGAAGTTTTTTAGAGGATTAAGATTTTTAGACTTTTAGAGGTTGGTCCCTTTAGTAACAAGGATTGAACCCCAAATGGGTGGAAAGTAGAAACATTTAAAGCGTGTGTAAACTGCAGCAGCTTCGTGATTTGGCTTAACCTCTTCATGCACAAACAGCAGTTAACCATACCACCTCTGATGATCTGGAGTCTACGGAAGAGATTTTTAGCTCTATATGGCAGCCATTTGCTCCAGTTCTTCACAGAAACAGGCTTCTTGGTAATTGTCTGCTGTAGTTTTGGCTCACTTCAAATTAATTCTGTTCAACTTTGAGTTTGTCGTAGGAAAAGGAAAAGTCCAGCAGTCAATACAAGATACTCCTTTCCTTTGGAAATCTTGCGCTTACCCTACAAAGCATGTTGGAGAGTCTGCTAGCTGTTAAAGCAACCCTGAGGTCATGCAGACAATGAGTCTGAGCTCATGCAAGCCCTCTCCCTGCTGTCCTTGGCACAGGCAGAAGGACAGCTTGCTGGCTGTCCAAGAAGGAGTCATGTGGAGAGGAAATGGAGTGGAATGTAATGATGGCTTCTCCAGCTCCTGCTCGTGAGACTAGGCCTGAAGCTGATTCAAACCAGGAGCTGCATAGGTTGTAATGGGACCGA